CATTTTGAATCAGTTTCTCATTTAGATAGAAAAACACATTGGACTCAAATGTTTGTCTTCTCAATCTGCAGCTCAGACTAACAGAATCTCCCTCAGTCACAGGATGGACAGGGCTCACCAGGATAATATCTGTTTCTGTAAAACAGTCAAAGAATATGAGGTTTCAGTCAGATCAGCTGGTTGAATTCACACATCACTGATATATTTTACAGAGTGATCATAAAGTCTGATGTTTTATCTTTTGTACATACAATTTATGTGTCTTTATTTGGTATGATTTTACCAAATAAGCATCAGGTGTCTACAAGGTCCTACAAACTACACTGAAAACTTAAGTACAGATCACCCATAAAGCTACATAAATCTACTGTATACTACATCCAATCCTCATCATAATAAGATGATGAAATGGTTTTCAGTGTCTGTGGGAGAGATGTGTGACTGAGCTCTCTGTGGAAACAAAATGAGATAAAAGCTTAGACTGTGCTGATGTACATGGTTAAATCACAATAAAAATATTTAACTATGTTCATTAATTAATTTAATAATAATTCATATAATTGATGGCCAGTATAAAATATTCAAAGATGATTCTTTGGCATTATCTGTGTTTGACCAGCACCTGATTGATTTATACTGCTGTACAGAGGATTTTTGATTTTATACCTTATTACATATAATTTTTTGTACAATAATCCTTTGGAACAACAATTCAATTACATGGATATTGAGCTTTTGAGTGGCTGGTTAAAGAAAATAAAATGTAAGAAATTAATTTAAAAGAGGTTTGCCATTTCTAGCAAAAAAAAATAGTTTGGACTAATGTGCTGCTAAATGTTAGTGGTATTTAATAATGACCATGACGTAGCAGTCAGTGAACTGTACTCCTCAATGTAGATTTTAATATATTTTGAAACACATAATGGGATGAAAAAAAAATGTAATGAAACCATACTCTGTATAGTGATGTTGACGGCATTGCTGAACTCTCCTGATCCAGACTCACACCAGTACACTGCATCACTCTGCTGGTTACTGTATACTTTGCATATGGATCCAGTCATTGTCCCCCAGTAGCAGTGTGACCAGTTGCTGTTCTCAGGAGACCTCCTCACTCTCCACTCAGTAGAGTTTCCCTCACAGCTCACTGAGACAGAGTCAGAGGTGAAGTGTTGCACTCTGTCAGGACTCACTGTGAGAGACACTGATGGATGAAAGTCTGAAAAATAACATGTAATAGTGGATCAAACAGAGCACAGATTTCCATATTGAAAACCAGCTACCATTTGATTACATTTTAAATGAAAAATGTTCTACTTTTACTTGCTATCTTTAAAGATACAGGGGGATTCATGTGGTACACCACATAGTAAGGTGGAAAGCTGGAAATATCATAAGGTCAGCTATTTTAACCAACTGTTGTTTTCAAGACACCTCATGTTGGTCACAGACAAAACCTCTTCGGTTACATAACATCTGCTTCTTGAGAGGACAAACAGAAACAAACTGACCTCCAGACCAGACAAACTTGGGTTCACTATAATCAGTGTAATACACTGGATCTCGTCTAACAGCTCTGCACTTATATCCTGCTGTGTGTGTCAGTCCATGTAGGATGTAGGAATCCTGTTCAGTCCCATTGCTGCTGCCAGGTAGCCGCTCAGAGCTGTAGTAGCTGGATGATAGATCAGGAACAGCCTTATACCAGTAGAACCTCCATCCTGCAGATGGATGTTCAACCTCACAGTTCAGAGTTACAGAGTCTCCAGGACTCAGCCATAATGGAGACACAGTGAGGACAGGCTGAGGTTCTGTTGGAAAGTGATTTTTCAGAACGTAAACATGTATCAATAGTGGATCAAATGCATCCTGTACAATCAGTACATACAAACTTGAAGATTAACTTTACTTAAAATACATATCAACCAAACAGCCATTTAGTGAACTGTATAATATTAAAATAAATATGATGAGACTCACTGTCAAATACTGTCAATTTGATGGGATCACTCCACTCTGTTGAAGACTGTTGAGCATGTTTCATTCTGCCCTTACAGCTGTACTCTCCACTGTGGGATACAGTAGCAGACCAAATACTGTGTTCATTTTGATTTGAAGGTTTTTTTGAGCTGGTTGTTTTCCATTCATACGTCCACTCAGTGTCTCCTCCGTCCTTGATCTCACATCTGAGAGTGATCTTCTCTCTGTTGTATATTTCAGACCAGTTTGGTTGCAGAGTCACAACAGCCTTGTTTGCAGCTGTTCGTGTTCACAGTCAGAAAACAAAATGACAAAAGATCAAAACATAATGTATTTATCCTTTTTATCAACCAATAATTATTAATACAAAATATATTTAGTTCGGTTTCAAAAACAAATGCCAAACTCACCATTGTTGTTAAAACTGATTGGATCACTGTACTCTGTGTAGTAAACTGGGTCTCCTCTTCCTCCTCTGCACCAGTAGAGTCCTCCCTGTGAGACACTGATTTGTCCAGTTGAGAGGAAGACAACATCTGGTGTGGTCAGAGCTTCAGAGGTTTTCTCTCCTCTGTACCAGAAGAAGTTCCAACCAGATGATGATCGCTTCAAATAGCAGGTCAGGGTCACACTGCCCCCTACAGGAATGTTTGTGCCATCAGCTCTCAGTTGGGCCTTTGGTGTTTGTGCTGTTTAATTTAGAACAAAGACATAAAAAAAGGAAATTACTGTCACTGTGATTTAATTCAATTTAAATAGTGTAGCAATAATTAGTTAAAAAAAACGCTGCTACCATTTTCAATCTGTGTGAATAACATAATAACGCTTTGTTTTGTTATTTTCATTGTCTGATTAAAGATACAGCATGTTGTTATGACTCTGTGTCATATTGAGAGTGGTGCTGTTCACACTGTTTCATGTTTTCCTCAGTATGTTGAGTTGCAGGTGGCAGCAAGTGATTGGACAGAGAATGATAGCATGTCTTTTAAAAATTTAAAATTGTTGACTTCATTCCGTCTTTTAAAATTGCATAAAATGACTTAATCCCGTCTCTTCCCTGACCAACAAGTGATTGTTCTCTGTTGTACAAAAGGTAAATGTCTTCAAAAAGAGCGGTTCTGGTAGATGTATGGGTGAGAAGGCCTTATTGTTGATTTATTTTGTCCTGTTTATGTTAGGGAGGTAGGTAAGATGTTAGTTAGACATTAGTCAGTAAAATGGATTGTTTTGTTGTTTTATGTTATTTTCATGTCCCCATGAAAATAACATAAAACAGCCAAGTTGAACAATTGCATGGCAAACAGCTGTATGATACATGTTATCTACTTCTCAGTTATCTGTATCACCTATCCTTAACGGGGGTAACAGTGTTAAACTGCAGCATCATTCCACCCTATAAGTTTCTTGCTTGCACTACATTTCCCTGTGAGTGATTATATTTCAAAAGCTGAATACTGCTACATAATTATTAAAGAAAGAAGTGGTTTGTGGTGCAATATTTAGATTTAACATTTTATTATGGATGAAAGACAGTCCAACTTACGTGAAACTTTCAATCTGATGGCAATACTCCACTCTGTTGAGGAATATGAGTCCCTTCTACCCTTACACCTGTATTCTCCACTGTGGGACTCAGTAGCACTGATAATCCTGTATTCACTGTGTGTTGGAGACTGTGTGTTTGAGCTGGTTGTTGTCCATTCATATATCCACTGAGTGTCTCCTCCTTCCTGGATCTCACATCTTAAAGTGATTGTCTCCCCACTGAATATCTGAGGCCAGTTGGGTTCAAGGGTCAAACTGGCCCTGTTGAAGACTGTTGACATCAGAAATGTCCAGTTAGGATACAAACAGGATTACAAACTAAAAAAAGTAAAATGTAAACTATAATCTATAATAGTTAATTATGTGGATGCATTTCATTGAATTCTGCAGCAAATTAAAAAACAATAATATAAATACTATTAAATAGCTTTAATGTTATTTAAAACAAACTACTCAAGGTCAGTAAAGTGCCAAGCAGTGTTAATAGCAGCAGCTTCTGAAGGAATAAAAGAACTCAAAGAGGGTCACAACAGTCTCCCAAAATACCCCAAAAAATAGCAGTTCAACACACTGCAGCTTAAGGAAAAACACATACATGACGGCAAATAGACGATAAATAATGTGTGTTGAGGTTCATACATACATACAAATAGAGTAATAGAGTTTAGAATCTTTGCAAAGGAGCATTGAAGCTGTTGTGGATGTTTGTAGTCTCCCAAACATTGTTTATAATTTGTCACCTATCCATTTGTGAAGCATTTCACTGTTTCTGACTTTGATCAGATAAATATGTGAAATGAGGAAAATTCCTTTCTATGAAGGTAACAGACTCTTAAGAAAAATACAGTCTGACATCATGGTCAGTACAGCATCAGGCATCCCTAATAAGCACATGAGGCACTAATCGAATCATTCTGTAATTTGCATTGATACACGGAGTGAAATGATACATATATAAAAGAAGACAAATGAAAAAGGAGGAAGTGATCAAGAGTGATAGAGCAGGTGATGAATAGGAGATGAATAATACATGAATAAATATAATAAAAATCTGAAAAAATACTAAAACAATTGGTCACCTTCAGCATGTCCGTAGGGGAGTGTATTCAGCACTAAAATAAAGATTAAAACTTCATCAGACAATAATAAAAGGCATTTAAAATCTAGCTGCAGTTTCAACACTAGCAACTATTGTTTAATCAGCAGTATTACAAATTTCTGTGGAGATATTCTGTGATCAAGTAAGGTATGGAACTATTGCATTCATAGGTTTGACACTCACTGTTAATCTGCAAATCTGTACTGTACATGCATTGTGCAAAGATGTGTGCAGTAGTAGTGTATTTAACACAGTCTTCCAGTCTAAACCAAACCAAATCAGAAACCAAGATTATTCATACAAAACTAAAATGTTGACAAAAAACTCGGGTCTGCCTCTGAAAGTCACACAATTAGAAAGTCACTGATGTACTCACAGAATAACCCCAGCACACAGAGCAAAGTGTGCCCCATCTTCACATCCAGCACCGACACTGTTGCTCTGCTGCTCTGCTTCTGAGAAATGTTTCTACTTTGCAAGAATAAAACAGAGAGAGAGAGAGAGAGAGAGAGAGAGAGAGAAAAGTTACATTCCATATAAATGTGAGTTTTTCATCAACTTCTCCTTCTGAGTATAGCTTTGTTCTTCCTTCCTTCCCTTATACACAGAACTCAAACTGCAGTGGTTTTGACCGCAGCATACTTTGACAGGTTTACACTTCCTGCCCACTGACAAGATATATTAGCTTGTCTGTTGTACAACGGTTCATTCCTGGTATATACATTTTTGAATAACAAAATTGGCATGAGAAAGAAGTAATAACTGTACATTAATGAAACATAAGACCATTAAATGTAATCCTATCACACTATATACTTCTATTTTATTGTTAATTTTGCATGTTTTGCAGTATTTGTCCTCTGTTCTTGCATCCACTGAGCCTGTATTGCAATTAGATTAATGTTCATATATGTTTTTATACAGTGCATTCAGAAAGTATTCAGACCCCTTTACCTTCACATTTTGTTATATTGCAGCCTTATGTTAAAATCATTTAAATGTAAGTTTATCCCTCATCGATATACACTGATTACCCCATAATGACAACACAAGAACAGGATTGTTTTAAATGTGTTAAATATTAAAAACTGAAATATCACATTGACATGAGAACCTGTCCTATAAAATTCAGTTTTGGTACCTCGCATTTCTCTTGATCATCTTTGAGATGATGAACTATCAGACAAATTCAAACAAACATGTCATACTTTGGCTCTCTTCACACTGACTTCTGTTCACAAGCCTATTTTAGTTTTACCCGAGCTCAGTCACTTCCTGTGGATGAAGTCATGGCCAAACTTGAAACCAAGGTTTTAACAACTCATCATTATTCATATAGCACCTTTCACACAGCACAGTGCTTCACATAACAACACTAACACAAACAATTATTAACAAAAATGAACATAAAGGTATAACATTTTAAAAGACCAAAACGTATTACAATAAAAACAATAAAAGTTAATGTAAAAATGTAGAAACTAAGCATATAACATTACTGTAGACAGGTAGGCACTTTATTAATTATAAACACAACAGACGTCATTACCAGTACAGTTTCAGCATTCCTGGAGGGCCCAGGATCAGCACCTTGGACAGTGACAGTAACAGCAGAATGTTTTCCAAATGTTTTTCAAGATCCACCGGAGCTGAACAACCTTAATCACAGTTGAACTTAAAATAAAAGGAAAACTACTGGGTGACATTAATAGTTCACAGTAGCCGTGTGTTCATCCAAAAGCTTCCACAAAGATAAGGTCTCACTGAAGGCAGTCCCTCATATAGCATTACCAAAATGAACATCCCATTTCCTCTGGGTGCTCCAGTTTCTCATACCATCATAACATGTATGTTACGTTAACTGAACGGAACTGAACCCTGGGAACGGAGCAAAGCAGGATAATATTTTTAGCTTTGAAGGAGTCAAAGATAAGAGTAAATAACTCGTAAGTATCTATCTATCTATCTATCTATCTATCTATCTATCTATCTATTTATCTATCTATCTATCTATCTATCTAGGGACAAGCATGTGTAAAACACATACACTACCAGTCTAAAGTTTGGACACACCTTCTCATTTAATGGTTTTTCTTTATTTTCATGACTATTTACATTGTAGATTCTCACTGAAGGCATCAAAACTATGAATGAACACATATGGAATTATGTAGTAATCAAAAAAGTGTGAAATAACTCAAAACATCTCTTATATATTAGATTCTTCAAAATAGCCACCCTTTGCTTTGATTACTGCTTTGCACACTCTTGGCCTTCTCTTGATGAGCTTCATGAGGCAGTCACCTGAAATGGTTTTCCAACAGTCTTGAAGGTGTTCCCAGAGATGCTGAGCACTTGTTGGCCCTTTTGTCTTCACTCTGCGGTCCATCTCATCCCAAACCATCTCGATTGGGTTTAGGTCAGGTGACTGTGGAGGCCAGATCATCGGGCGCAGCACTCCATCACTCTCCTTCTTGGTCAAATAGCCCTTACACAGCCTGGAGGTGTGTTTGGGATCCTTCTCCTGTTGAAAAATAAATGATGGTCCAACTAAAAGCAAACCGGATGGGATGGCATGATGCTGCAGGATGCAGTGGTAGCCATGCTGGTTCAGTGTGCCTTCAATTTTGAATAAATCCCCAACAGTGTCACCAGTACAGCACCCACACACCATCACACCTCCTCCTCCATGCTTCACAGTGGGAACCACGCATGTAGAGACCATCCGTTCACCTTTTCTGACACGACGGGTGGAACCAAAGATCTCAAATTTGGACTTATCAGACCAAAGCACAGATTTCCACTGGTCTAATGTCCATTCCTTGTGTTTCTTGGCTCAAACAAATCTCTTCTGCTTGTTGCTTTTCCTTAGTAGTGGTTTTTTAGCAGCTATTTGACCATAAAGGCCTGATTCGCGCAGTCTCCTCTGAACAGTTGAGGTAGAGATGTGTCTGCTACTAGAACTCTGTGTGGCATTCATCTGGGCTCTAATCTGAGGTTCTGTTAACTTGCAATTTCTGAGGCTGGTGACTCGGATGAACTTATCCTCAGCAGCAGAGGTGACTCTTGGTCTTCCTTTCCTGGGGCGGTCCTCATGTGAGCCAGTTTTGTCGTAGCACTTGATGGTTTTTGCGACTGCACTTGGGGACACATTCAAAGTTTTTGCAATTTTCCAGACTGACTGACCTTCAGTTCTTAAAGTAATGATGGACTGTCGTTTCTCTTTACTTAGCTGATTGGTTCTTGCCATAATATGAATTCTTACAGTTGTCAAATAAGGCTGTCAGTTGTGTACCAACCGGCAAGAAAAGCAAGAAATCCCACAAATGAACCCTGACAAGGCACACCTGTGAAGTGAAAACCATTTCAGGTGACTACATTATGAAGCTCATTGAGAGAAGGCCAAGGGTTTGCAGCGCTGTCAACAAAGCAAAGGGTGGCTACTTTGAGGAATCTAAAATATGAAACACATTTAGAGTTATTTCACACTTTTTAGTTTACTACATAATTCCATATGTGTTCATTCATAGTTTTGATGCCTTCAGTGAAAATCTACAATGTAAATAGAAAAACCATTAAATGAGAAGGTGTGTCCATATAGTAGGTGTGTCCATATAGTAGTGTATATATATATATATATATAATATATATATATATATCATTATTGGTAAAGTTAGAGAGTATTACTGCTTTTTGAGATTGTGGCTCATGAGTCACCCTGACATGGCATCATGGATATAACTACACCAGCTCTAGTCCCAGACTAAGTTGCAGTACTTGCATGTTGTTGGCATCAACTAAGGTAGTTCACCACCCCCTGGTGGTTGTTTGTGGGAAAAGCTAGCGAGGTATATTGACTGACTGACATTCCTGCTTTTTTTTTTTTTTTTTAGAGTAGAGCATTTCTATTTATGGTTGATAATGTTCATTTAAACAAAAGTGTAAAAAATTTAATTCTTTACAAGTGTGATATTGACAGAAATTCTTGCTACTTCAAAGCATCAGTCTATGCAGAGATATGCAAAGCCTTCATTATGGATATACAATTGTATATTATGTATGTAGGTACATGTGCTGTATTAATAATTATTTACAGTCAGACCACAAGATCTAGGGCTGCCATGCATCAGTCTCAGTCACTGTCAATGGTCTCAGTGCATTCATGTAGATGTGCTGCGTAAACCAGTGATAAACGCTAGGTTAAAATGACTGGAAATAAATATCAAAAAGATACTTTTAGTATCCAACAATGGCACTTTAACAGAACCCTAGGACCCTTAACCCTAAATACGTTCATTAAGCAGAGGTGAGCATCGTTAAAACCACAACTAAGTGTTTGAAACGTTTATTATAATGAAAAATAACCAATCATTAGTGCAGTACTGGGATGTGAACACTTAGTCAGTTGTTTAGTTTGAACATGTTGCTACCAGGAACTGGACCCTGGGAATGGAGCAAAGCAAGATAATATGTTTTGCTGGGACAAAGTCAAAGACTATGAAGAGTTCAAAATAAGAAATAGGATGAAGCCAAATTAGTAACAATGAATAACAATGTGTGGGCACTGAATGGCAGCTCAGCTACTAAACTCAGATCAATGTAGTGTGATAGTGAAGTGGCTGATTTTTCAGTGATCATTTTTTGGAATTTAGCCCCTTAATAGTGCTGCCCATGTGTCAAAAAACTATTAAAAACTCAACTGTTGAAAAAAATAGTTTAATGATGCATTGCATCATAAAAATAAGAAATATAAAACATATTCAGGTGAAAATAAATTACTTACAGTAGCTATGAATAGATTTGTAAAAAGACAAAGGAAAACATGTATGTAATAAAAATGTTGTTCAATAGCAGTTACTAATTATAATTGTTAAATCACATGTCTCCTCCCCACCTGCATCACTGCCACTCCTATCTAAACCACTCCCCCAAGATTATATAGCTCCACCCTTCAGATCTGATTTCCCTCTTTTCCCTCCAAATCAAGAACAAAGAGAACCTGCTAAAGGTTTTTGTGTTAAGAAGAAAAGAGAGAAATTAAGACAAGATTGTGAAAGCATTGATGATATTAGAAACAAAAAAAATGACAATAATCTAATATTGTCTGCAAATGTGGAGATTTACAATACAAACAATGACAATTAAGCTCAAATATAATGTATCAAACTGTTTAAACAGCTTGCGTTAGATGTTTATGGCAAAACATTTGAAAACAAAAAATATATAATACAGTGCATAAATACTAAATGGGAAAACGCCTCAGCCGTCTTGTGCTTTCTCCTTAAAATACTTAAAGTAATTAAATCCATATAATATTTTATCTATTATTTATTTTGAAATTTTATATTTTATATAATCTGCTAATAAATTGTAAAGTGTACAAAATGTTAACCTTTTGTCTTTGTCCATAAAGATCTCTTTACAGACCTGGAAGCCAACAACAAAAACACACGATGCCCTTTTGTTTCTTCACAACTGTACAGTAACATGTAGCACAGAAGTACACACTAGTACAATGTAATGCATGATGCAGTTTGTATGATGAGAGAGTAAAACCAATAAGACATAAATAATTTAGCTTCATGTCATATCTGTATGATAGAAATATATTGGAAACAAATGACACAGAACCAGCAATAACAATCACATATGAAACAGATAAACTTAAAGTATAAAAGGCCATATATATGTGTAACATTTTTCAAATTTAAACTTTTCTGACACCTAGTGGTAGTATGTAGTAAGATGACATCAATTGAACTGCATGCTGACCCATAATGACCTCCTGTGTGATGATTTCAATACAAACTCTGAGCATGACAGTAGTTCCTATCTTGACATCAGAGTAAACAGAGCTCTCATCTGGTTCATGTTGCTTCCCTGTTAACATAATCAGAAAACAAAATCAATACTTTTTGGCACTTCAGGCTAAAACATCTCAAAATGATTTTCTATTCATTGTTATTATTTGGAGTACTCACTTTGTTTTCAAATGTTGTTATGTTCAATCGAAGCATCCATGAATTAGACTGCATTTAAAATATACATATTTTAGAGGAATTTATGTCAGTAACACATAATCAGTCTCCTTAGCTTGTGCAGCATTTATAACAAATAGTCAGACTTGATCTGAGGATGGGTGAAATTAGTTTCAAGACAAATACATTTTATTTCAGGTTTTAGTTTTAGCTTGTATGGCAATCTTATTTCAGCCTGTCACACTCCATTGACAACAGCAGTGCTTCAGATGGTTTACACCCCTCTCTGATGATGAAAATATATAATGCAGAGTAGTACCTATCGTAGATCTACAGTGCAGCAATGAGTAATCATTCACATGCTGAAGTCCCAATGATATAGACACTTAATGCTGCAGGTACAGCGGCACTTTGGGCGAAATACCGATGTCAACATCTT